TGGTGTAAACACTAATGCGACAATTGATAACAAAACATGTGCACAACTTTTATTGCTATATCGAACGCACTTTTCAAATAATAAATAATTATTCATATCTATAGATATTCAACTGTGAAATACATTAGATAATTAACTAATTCAGCTTGTTTAAAAATAATTGCTAAGAACTAAGATGGAAATTTGCAACTTATAATTATTACCTTTTTATAAATAGTCGATATAAGAGTAGCTCTGATTTTCATCGCCACTAAATTAACCCGATATTCGTATTGACTGTTTAATAGCGACACAAACAGAGGGGTAATAAACATAAGGGAGGCGTAGAATAAACCCCTCCACTGGGGCTCAGCATTAGTGGGACTCATGAATGAAATGAGTCTATCGAGTACTATAGGGCTCATGAATTCCAGACAAATAGCTATTAGTTTGACTGCACTTCCAGTCAATAACTCCATCCAAAAGCACTTTAATAAAGGAATCCAAATTTTCCAAGTCACTTTAGCCTCATTTCGATGTCCGGTCCTCTCATCAAACGTTTGACACTTAGAATACGGCGGTATATAGAGGTGTAGGGAAACCGCCCGATAGGTATGGCTTCGGTTCTCCACTCTATGCAAACCCATCTCATCTATTGGCACACAATTGAGAGACAATTTGGTTAAGATATACAAAATGTACAAAATGTAATCTTTATATACAAATCATTTTCATCACCAAAACTAACCATTAATATAAGCGACAGCATTGGTCTTCATTACGCTCTCGTCTAACACTTTCATCTCTTCAGTTCTGTCCTCAATATTGTTGTCCAACCCGTCGGCCGACAATTTTTTCTCCGGCCACTCGAACCGTATCTCATGTAGACTTCCGGTCAGCATCTGATACATACATACATGCGATTAAATTTAAGTGTTTTATTTTGAGAGTTAATTATTTGTGTGTCTGTGAGTTAACAATACTGGTTATAAATTCATCATGGTGATAATGGTGTGAATTATGTACTGTGCAACACCTTTATAAAAGACCCAGTGCTCTTCACCGGAACATTACGTCTCAATTTGGATCCATTCAACCGATACTCAGACACTGATATCTGGAGGGCCTTAGAGTCGGCACATCTCAAGCAATTTGTGGACACTT